AAAAATAAATAGACATTAACCCAGTGCTTTAAAAAAATAATTTGTACCAAGTGCACACATCTCACATGAACTCTTCAAGGAATAGACAAATCAAAACAAGACTTGGGAAGAGAACAGCTTTCTCAGCATGACATCAATGCTACTTAGGGCTCTGGCCCACCACACACAGTCTGGTGCACCACCGGGGGACCAAGTGCCCCCCTTTGGGAAGCCGTGGTTTATAGGAGAGCTCCGTGAGAACGGCACAGATTTGTGAAAGCACTCTCCTCTCTGCCATGTGCTCTAATCTCTGAATCTTAACGCCTGGGTTTTCCCTCTACCTCATCTGAGCATCTTTTATCTTAATTGAGTGAAACACATCTTGGTCCTGATTGGCCTATCAGCAGCAGAATCACATAGGCCTTCACTGAAATTTCTGGCATTCTCTCCAGCCCATTCAGTCACTTATCTCCTTCCATGGCTTTTGCCCAGGAGAGGTTCCCTTTCTCAGAAAGTAGGAGTGGCACTCGAACTGACCTGGGTCACAGACCCGCCTGTCTCTACTGTTTCCACATGTTACACAATCCCTCAGAAGCACAAGCTTATCACACAGAAAGGCTTTTGACAGAGTGGGATTTCATTCCCGGGTCATTTCTCCCTATTGAGAACTCTCAAGATGGATAAATGTTACAAATCTCCACGAACAAGTCGGTATTGCATGTAGCAGAAACTCAGCTGGAGTGGCTTCCCCGTGTAGCAGGAGCTGGAGGACAGCAGTCCCTAGCGGGTGGGCAGTCCCTGGTTGTACCACGGTTCCAACGAGGCCATCGGGGACTTAGCCCATCTCACTTTCTCCTCTGCCGTCAGAGAGTGAGGTTTGCATTCTTAGGCTCCAACACCGGCTGCTACATCTCCCGGCAGTGGGTCCACATCCCAGACGGAAGAGGGTCATAAGGCAAAGGACAAAAGGCTTTTGGGCATGTGCCAGCTGGACTGGCCCTTTTTAGCAAATTTTCCCAGAAGCCCCATCCAGAGATCTGCATGTACACCTCACCGGCCAGAACTGTGTCACATGGCCACCCGCAAGGGAGACTTTAAAACCGAGCAGGTCGCCACTACGAACAAAATGAGAATTCCAATCTTAAAAAAGAATAGGCAGGATAACCCACGAGCAAAAGACATTATTTTAAACTATTATTATACTAGCTATTAAAGTATGGATAGCTTATCCACCCTTGTAGATACAGGGAAGGCAGAGAGGATGTATTTTATCCTTTTTGTTTTTTCCGCACTTTTAGCATGGAGTTGAAATTGATTGTGGGACACATTTTGGGGAATGGGGGTGGGGGTGGGGGAGTGAGGTTAGATACCTAAAATGGAACCTGGGAAGCCACTAGAAACGGGCTCCTGAAGTGGTTGACAATAAGGAGCCACGGATCAAGGTTCTTGATCTGAGGAATGGTTTTGAGGCAATTCAGTTCAACACACATTTACTGAATACCAACTCACCAGTTGGCATTATAGGCTGTCTTCAAGGCACTTACTGTCTGTTAAGGAGATGAGGCAGGCAATCACCTATGAAGTGTGATCTTAGAGAGGAAGCATTTCATCAGGGCCTTGGGGGATGGGTGTGATTTGGCAGGCGGAACCAGCGGGGTGCATTTCAGTCTGCAGGACCGCGCCCCCCCTCTACATGCACCACACACGGGGTGGGTTGGGCAATGGTTGGTCGTACAGAAGGGTGTCCGCAAGGAAGTTGTAAAAAGTAACAGCAGGGGCGCCTGGGTGGCGCAGTCGGTTAAGCGTCCGACTTCAGCCAGGTCACGATCTCGCGGTCCGTGAGTTCGAGCCCCGCATCAGGCTCTGGGCTGATGGCTCAGAGCCTGGAGCCTGTTTCCGATTCTGTGTCTCCCTCTCTCTCTGCCCCTCCCCCGTTCATGCTCTGTCTCTCTCTGTCCCAAAAATAAATAAAAACGTTGAAAAAAAAATTAAAAAAAAAAAAAAAGTAACAGCAAATACTAAGGTGGGGCTGGGCTGTGAGGACCTTGAGAGCCAGAAAATGAGCTTGTACTTTATCAGTAGGCAATGGGGAGCCACTGAGAGTTTTGAGCAAGGCAGTGACAGGACAGAGTAGGAAGGATTGGAATGACAATGATAGGAAGCAAGAGGGGTGGTGAGACGTCACCAGGGCACTGGCAGAAAGGGGGGACAAAGGGAGGCCACAGACACAGTGGGCATTATGGAGACAGAGTCAACACAGCTTGGGGGGAGCTGGCAAGAGGAGGTGATGGAGGTTCCCGGGGCGGAAGGTGATGTCATTAACAGGGAGAGATGGGTGAGGAACAGGTTTGGGGCACTGTGTAGACAGAGCTGGAGATGCCAGGTGGCTAGAAGTGGAAATGTTTGACAGGCCCCTGGAAATTCCAGTTGGAAACTCGAGATCGAGGTCAGAGAGGAAGGTATTAATTTGGAAAACAATAACCAAGAAGGACAACTGAGAGAGCCAGAAGCACCTCAGATACATTCTGTCCCAAGCTGACACACTTGTTCCTCCCAGAACCTCCCTCCTACATTTGCACGTTATTCCTTCGGCCAGAATGCTCTTCCCGCCTCATTCACCTGGCTTGCTGCTAGTGTACCTGGCAGCAATCTGTTCAAGCATCACCTCCTCCAGGAAGCCTTCTTTGATCTCTTCTATGTGTTCTTATCTTACCCAGGGCTTCCTTCTACCCTCCACACTGTACGGCATCCCTCACTTAGTAATAAGCATTTGAGTTTCCTGCATGTCTTCTCATGGCTTGCTAGCTTATTTCTTTTTAGTGCTGAATAATATTTCATTGTCTGGATATATCACGATGTATTTATTTATTACTATGGAGACAGTACAAAGATCAGTGGTTGCCAGGGTTGAGACAGAAGAAAGGAATGAAGAGACAGAACTCAGTGGATTTTTAGGGCAGTGAAAATACTCGTATGATGCTATTATGATAGATATTTGTCATTATACATTTTCCAAACCCATAGAATATACAGCCGCAAGAATGAACCCTAATATGAACTATGGACTTTGGGTGATTAGGGGGTCAGTGTAGGTTCATTGGTTGGTTGGTTGTTAAATTATTTAAAAAACACCACTCTGCGGGGTGGGTGCCTGGATGGCTCTGTCAGTTAAGTATCCAACTCTTGGTTTCGCCTCAGGTCATGACCGCACGGTTTCATGAGTTCAAACCCTACATCGGGCTCTGCACCGGCAGCATGGGGCCTACTTGGGATTCTCTCTCCCTCTCTCTCTGCCCCTCCCCTACTTGTACCGTCTCTGTCTCTCTCAAAGTAAATAAGAAACTTAAAATAAATTTTTTTAATAAAAACAAAAAACACCACTCTGGTGGGGGTGTTGAGACTGTGGGAGGCTGTGCATGGGTGGGAATGGGGATACATATGGGAAATCTGCACCTTCCGCTCAATCTTGCTATAAACCTAAAACAGCTCTTAAAAATCTTAAGTCTTTGGGGTGCCTGGGTGGATCAGTCAGTTGAGTGTCCGACTCTTGATTTTGGCTCAGGTCGTGATCCCAGGGTCATGAGATCAAGCCCCACATCAGACTCAGCACTGAGCACGGGGCCTGCTTGGGATTCTCTCTCTCTCTCCCTCTGCCCCTCTCCCCTGCTCATGCTCACTTGCTCTCTCTAAAAAAAAAAAAAAAAAAAAAAAAAAAAAAAAAAAAAAAAAAGTTATGCCTTTTTAAAAAAAATGCCCGTGATGGCTGGTAATATTTTCCCTCTCTCTCCTCTTCACCTTTCAGGTCTCAGCTTAGTTTCAGGTCTCAGCTTAGCTCTGCACTGGTGAATGATCTCTGCAGTCTCCCAGGCTGATGAGAGGCTCTGGCAGAAGACCAGAGAGTGGAAGATAGAAGGAAAGGAGAATCTTCATCCCTCTTGGTCTGGAGTAATGTCTACAGAAGGAGTTGTGTCTCTTCTCTGGTTCCCACTTGTTCCAAGAGACCCTGGCCCCCAGCCCCTGATTGCACTGCTTCCCCCCTCAAGAACCTCCAGCCCAGGAGTAGCAGTAGATTCCTGAATATCTGGCCATCTCCTCCTGGGCTTCTCAGCAATTCCATCTTTTACGTAACCAATTCCTTGCATGTTTAAAAACTCAGAGTGAGTGCTGCCTGCCTACTTGGTCCCTGCCTGATACAATCTATTCTATGCTCCCTTTTGTTGCCTTCATCACCTGGAATGACTTAGTCACTTGTTCAAGGTCTGCCCACCCACTAGACTGGAAGGTCCTTAAGGGCAGGAAGAGGTCTAGAGGTTCTGCATTCCCTAGGACCTGGCCCGGCAGGGGCACGGAGCACCACATTTGTGATGGCTGCAGATGAGAGCTGAGATGAGGTCATCCGACAAGGGGGCAATTAGGGTATCCATGGAGAAAGGGGGTGGTGGGCAGAAACCAGACTACAGGGGAACCTACAAGTGGGAGATGAAACAGATATCCAGCGTACCAAGAAGTTTGGGAGTTGGGAGGGGAAAGAAGGTTTGGCCAACAGTGTAGGGGAAAGCCAGGATGGGAGAAGGGGTTTTTATTATTATTTGTCTGTTTTTAGGCTGGGGAGACTTGATCACGTTTGGAGAGAGGAAGAAGATAAAGGGGAGGAGTTCAAGGGCAGGAGAAGCTGGGACATGGAGTTGGAACACGTAACCACAATGGTCCCTCAGGAAGACTGAAGCCACCAGGAGGGTTGAGGCTGGTAAGGAGAGGGGACTGGTGGCAGGGAGGTGAGTTAGGAGGGGATAACCAGTCAGGAAGTAAGAAGAATTTGAGTCAAGCCTTAACCCAGGGCTCCCTACGAGGGCTCCCAAGTTGGGAAGGGTATCAGAAAGGATGTCCAGGACCTGCTCTTGATAAGGTCATTTTTGCTCAGTGCCCCACAGAGACTCCTGGCCAGTCAGCTCCATCCTTTGCAGAGATGGGCACCTCTTCTCCTTACCCATGTCACCGTGGCTCCTCCTCTTCTCCAATAGGTCTATGGTTCACCATGCCCCTGTCCATCTCCCCTGTGGTGGGAATTGGTGGGAGATGATCAGGGTCCAGGATCTGCATACAATAGTGTACTGATAAGTGTTTAACGACCCGCTCGGGGGTAGGTAGCCCTGGCTTATCCCGTTTGCCAATTTCCACAGTGTAAACAATCTCATCTTCTCCAATATTAAGCTACCAACATGAGGTCACTGAAGGCGGAGTAACAAACCACTGCCTGCCTCCATTCCCTCTCCTGCCTTCCCAGCCCCCCCCCCCCCCTACAGACCATCAGACTGGGTGGCAGCAATGACAGGTCCAAGCCAGGGAGGGCGGTGACAGCACCATGGCTGTGGCCCCCATCAGGCTCCGATGGGGAAAGTAAAACTGCCTCTTCTCTGGGAACGTTCACCCCCAGCCCCCTAGTCATCTCTGATCTCAGCCTCACATCTGAGTTCTTCGCAAGTATAACTTCAGGATCTCACAGGAATTTGGGGCCTGAGATCCACAGACACTCAGATGATTCACTAGCCACTTTCTCACTAGACATGACTGGACACCGTGAACTCTGCTGACTAAGGAAATAGAAACCGGAACATAATTTCCTTCATTCCAAAGCAAACAGAAGAGGCAAATGATCAAAGGAGCTTCGAGCGGTGTCTCACCGATGCACACAAGTCACTTACTCTTCTACAGAACTGATGGGCAAATCGCTCCCTGAAGCCCAAAGGCTTTTTGCAGAGTCCTGCATGCAGGAGGACAGGGGCCTTGGGGCCGCACCTGGTTTGAATCCCAGCTCTTCTGTTATAGCAGAGTGACCTTGGGCAAGTCACTTCTCTCTGAGCCTCAGTTTGCTCATCGGTAAAAGAGGGTTGATGATAATAGTACCTACTCTATGGGGTTAGACTGTAAGTGTTGTCAACTGGGGGGGGGTGCAATTCTGCTTCCTTGGGGACGTGGCAATGTCTGGAGACATTTTTTGTTGTCACAACTGGATGTAGGGGGGTGGTGAACAGAGGTGAACAGAGGTGCTCATTAACATCCTACGACGCGCATGAGAGCCCTCCACGACAAAAAAGTGATCCAACGCAACCCCAAACGTCAATAGTGCCAGGTTGAGAAAGCCCACACTAGAGTGAATATTCAGGGAGGTCACCCCACGAGGCACTTAGAAGCGTCTGGTGACGCTTTTGCAAGGTCTTAAAAAAACAGAAGTCGCTATTCTTTTTGGAAGAGCACAGTTTACCCCTTTTCCAGACCTGAACCATTGGGGTAGGATGTGGAAATCCTTGAGTGCTGAGAGCCTGGCTCCCTGCTCCAGGTGTGAGTCACCCTGTAAATGTCTATTTCTTTTACTGAAAGCAGAGCTGGGGCTGCCCAAGTGACTCAAGGCTAGAAGGCTTTCCAGGTTGTTGTGACTTAACTGGCTGGGCTGGGAGGAAATAATTTTACCCTGAAGCTCTCCTTCCAAGACATGTAGGCATCTCAAGACTCAGAGATTCCAAGGCGCTCACTTGGAGTGGGTATTGTGTTGTTCCTCACTTCACAACCCCCCCGGACACAGCGGGGCTTGGAAAGGCCTGAGAAAGGTGGCCGAAACCATGAAGCCCTGCTTGTCCCAAATGCCCTCCTCACTGGTCTGTAGCAGTTTGTTCCTCGCTGCAACCTGATGTGAATTTCCTTTATGGGAGTTGCAGCTTGGGGTCAAGCTGTCACTTTCTCCCACTAACGCACACTAGGGTTAGTGGATAGATTCTAAGACAGATCATCTTGACGGGGTGGGTAGGTACATGCAGGGGACCCCAAACCAAAGAAGCGTCAAGGCGAGCTGGGCAAAGTATGTGGGCATTGGGTGTCTTAAAGCAACGATGGCAAGCCAGGGAGCATCTGCAGACTGTGCCCACGTCTTTCCTGAGAAGTGGTGTGCCCAGAGGCAAATAGGTGGTGGGAGAGGCAAGATACCAAGGTGTAAACCACCATCTGGCCACGCTCTGCCTCTCCCAGAGTGACTGAAATGAAAAACCCTGGGGTTGGAAGGAATTTTAGGGGCCCCCAGCTTCTCTCTTGCCCGCCATCTCCCAAGCTGGCCAGTGGCAGAACCAATTATACAGCAGACGGTGTCCAGCTCCAAAGCATGGGCATTACTGAGGACCACAACTTCAAATGCTTCAGGGGCGACAAGGATGACTGACATAAGCTAAGTGGCTGGGTGTAAGACAACACAGGCAGAGGCTGTGAGGAACTGCTCTAAGGCATTTAAATTTAACAAAACAAAACAAAACAAAGCATTCCGCCAGCCAAACAAAACATATCTGTGGCCTGAGTGAGTGGGTGAGGCCCTTAGGTTGTGAGTTTTTGACCCCTGGCCTCGGGTAACCCCCAACAACAGGGACCTCCAAAAATAGGCTTTGAGCTACCACAGACCGCCTCAAAACGACAGCTCCTGGGGTCTTTGTTCTAACACTTCCAGAGATGGCATGATCCTTGCTTCCCAAGACGATCTCAGATTGGGCCTGCCTAATCCCACCACTGGATTGTTACCAGACCTGCCTGCTGTGGACCACTGAAGGAGGTGGGGTGCCCGGATAGGGGTGTATCTTTTATTTTGCAAACTTTTTTTTTAGGTTTGTAATTTTTTATTACAAATAAAATACAAGCTCACAGTGGAAACACTGGAAAACACAGATAGGCAAAGTTTAGAAAAGAAAAAAATACCCCTACCTCCCTAACCACTCCCCACTCCCCATTCAGAAAGAAGCACTGTTGACACCTTGGAGCATATTCAGATTCCAGGTACTTTTCTTGCACAGGTAACGTTCCAGTCTTCTCTCTGGCTCTGTAACCTGTAAACCCAGCGAGGAGATGCTTCGCGCAGCGCTCTCACCACGCTGCTCCCTGGCTGTAGAAAGGGGTTGCACCACTCCATCAGCAAGCTCTCCTCAGGCCTGGATTTCAACACGTCCTGGATCCAGATCCAGGCCTGGATCTGACCCATGAAGGGCCTAGGCTCCCCAATCTTCTCAAGGTAAGGCATCAGAACCTGTCTTACTGGTCCTCAGGGAGTCTACAGCGCGGGGCACACAGTAAGTGCTCAATAAAAGTGTTTCTACTCCTCCCCGCTCCCCCGCCCAACCACTACACCGAGGCTAATTGCAAAGAGGAAGCAGAACCAGACCCAGGAGCAGGAGCGCCTCGTCGTCTCCAAGGTAACCTTAGTCCGAGGCCTAGGGCCCACGCATGCGCACACTCGCCCTTCCTTCCCGTAACGTCCAGAAGCACGCAACCCGTAAAAAGACTGCCAGAAGCCCAGCGCGCATGTGCGGTTGCACCAACACCCCGGCCGCCTCCGCCTTCTGTCAATCTGTCCGCCTGGCAATCTCTGCTCTATAAACACCGTCCGGAAATAGTGCCCATTTCTGGAAACAGGGCCTTGTTAGCCAATCGTTGCTAGGGGGCCGTATGACGGGGCGAGACGTCTCATTGGTTAGACTGGAGGAATGGGCGGGGCCAAAGGCGGAGGTGCGGCCAAAGCAAGGAGGCGCGAAGCAGGACAAATCTGCAGCCGCCGGGGGAGGCGTGGCCCCGGGGGCGGCCTGGAAGGCGGTGGAGGGGGGGAGGGGCCCGAGGCGGTGGCGGGGGGCGGGGCCCGAGGCCGGGGCGGGGCGACCGTGGTCCCGGAGCACAGCGGTCGGCGGCCGACGGCGGGAGACCGCGGGCGAGGGGAGCGCGACACTCGCTGGTTGGGGAGATCGGCGCTCAGCCGGTAGGTGACTGAACGGGATCCCGGGACCCCGAGCGGGGCGCCGAGGGAACGGCGGGGAAGAATCGCCCCACAGCCCGGGGTCGGGCCGCGACCTGGCCCGCCGCCCGGAATGGTGGGGGTCCGCGGCGCGGACGGTCGGATCCACTCGCGCGCGAGCCCCCGGCGGCCGGCCGCCGGCGCTCGCTTCGCACCACGCTGCCAGGGCCACGGTCGCACGCTGCGCTCGTCTCGCACCCCCGCAGGCCGCACGCTGGCCGAGAGCGCGCATAGGGGCGCCCTGCTTCCCCTTCCCCAACGCAACGCCCCCATTGCCCCCGCGCTCAGCCTCCCCTGCCGCCAAGCCCGCCCCTCCTACTCTTCTCCCCGGGTGCCCGCAGGGTGGGGGTTCGCCTCGGCTCGGGACGGAAGGTGGCGGATGCACAAGCGCCCCGGCGCCCCGGATCTGTGCGTCCTCTCACCTGCTGTGGCCGTGAAACCCTCGGCCTTCCCTTGGGAAGTTCTCGGGTCACACCCCGAAGCGGGGAGAAGGAGCGGAGCTTGCCCTTGGCACCCGGTGGGGCAATGCTGGCCACTCTCGGCATCCTTTCTCACCCTGACCCTTCTGTGATTCTTTTGTCCGCTACGCTCAGGACTTTATCCGGGTCCCGTATAATGTTCCCATCTTGGAAGCCCACCAGGCACCAGGTGGAGAGAGGCCGCTTGTAGAGTGCAGTCTCACCTGCCCAGAAGCCTCCTTGGTGCTGGGCAACTTCAGAAGTGCTTCCCTCCTAAATAGAGTTAAAACTGTTGCTTTCGGTCTTGAACGGTGTGCTGGGGAAGTAGTGTGGGGAGCAGAGGATAAGCAGAGAAAAGGTACAGAAATCAGGAGTAGAAGTGGCAGGATTATTTTTAACTGGAGGCGGTGAACACCAGTGGCTTGATTAAGGAGTCTAAGCCAACGAAGTTAAACGGTGAGAAATGGGGCCCGCTACAGACGAGCAGTCTGAAGTTCATTCCAGGAAAAATGTTGAAAACCGCTTGACTAGAAACACAGTCTCTGAAAGATTAGAGGGAGATAGTATCTTAACATTAGTGATGTGTCTTTTACTTAGTGTCTTCATACCTGTAACCTCCATTTTCCTTCAGACATCTGCAGGAAGACATAGACGGTATTGTCCTGTTTCATAGGTGAGGCACCTGGGGCGGGTAGGGGTGGGTGGGCTGTAATATATTTTGCCTAATGCGTTCTAGCCAGGACTCAGGGTGAGAGGCCTGGGCCACTGGAGTCTTACCAGGGTTCCTTGCCCTGGACCAGGACCACATTATGGGACTTGGTTGCAGGAAGAAGGGAGAGGTCTGGCGTGGTATTTATGCTCTTGCCGTGAGAGGACAGGTGCTTGGCTTGCTTCCGATGTATTCGGATTTACTGTTGATGTTTTTTAAGTGATGTCAAAGTCAGTTCCTTGGGTGTGGTGATGCCAGACCTCTCTCTGACACCTTTAAGACATCCTCATTTATTTTGAAGGGTGTGGTGAACTTCTCAGAAGGTCTCAAAATAAAAGCAACTTTAGAAATACGGACCCAGGTGTATGTTCCAACACTTTTGTAAAATCAGACAGCAACAAGCTGCCAACCTTTAGATCATCTTCTGACTGCTTTCAGATTATAAGGAGCCGTTCTGAAGGGGGTTTTTTGCCCCTGGTATTGTCTGTTAGGGTTTGTGGGAGCGGCACCACAGACAGAGACCCTGCCAAATGAGCCTTCATCTATTAAACAAAAATGTCTGGTTGGCCGTTTCGCCTCAACAGATGGAGGTTTGGTTCCTCATTTTGGTTCTCCTGTTGAACACTGACTCCTTTGTGATCTGCTTGGAGTGTTTATATATCATTTAATGTTGAGAAGCAGGCTGGGCCCTGATTGGTTGTCCAACTCCGGGCAACTGTTGTGATCCTTTTGGTTCATGATAACAGTTCATCCCGACCAAGGTCTGATGAGAGATCTGTAGAGATGGGAAAGACAAAGCTTCATCCAGCATTGTTTTCTTCGTTGTTGGCACCCCCTTAAGAGGGCTCTATCACTTTGGCCTGTGAAGTCACTTTTCATTTCCTATTTTTTTTCCTGTCTCCGCGGACAGCACACGAGCTTTTCGAACAGGTCTGCCTGCCTTGATGAAGAGCTGACAGATTCATATCAGTTGGCTTGACAGATGTTCTTTCCGGGAGGATAGTTAAGAAATCGTGGAAGCAAATTCAGTCCTACGTGAAAAGTATAAGTCAGCTTGATACTCTCATAGGCAGCTTGTTTGTACCAAAGGCTTCCATCATCTCAAAGCTGTTTTTTTTTTTTTCCTGGCAAAAGGTTAAAATGCAACTAAAATTCTGCTTTCGTGATTAATAAGTCACTACCGCAGTTGTGTCTGATGCTTCCTGTTTGCCCCATTTTAGTATTTCAGTTAAACTGGAAACATCTGAGCACAATGGGCACTTTTGATGGCACCGGTGTGAAATTGGCGGGAAGGGAGACCCTTCCGTGTCCGTGGATTTGGGGAACTCAAAGGATAGGCCGGGCCCTCTGGCCTGTGCACACCACACCGCAACTCGACTCGGAGGGAAAGGAGTGGAGGCTGGGCCCTCTCAAGGGGGTGGAGCGAGCGTTAGAAGTGATGCACGTGTGAAGGCTTATGCATTTACTTGGTGGTGCTGACTGAAATGTTGAAAGCAGTATATCAGAAATAGAAGGCTAAACATAGGGCAACTTGGGTAGTAGAACATTTCAGTCGAGCTGAGTGAGACACCGACGTACGTTGGGCGGACGGTCGTTAGTTCGGGGCTTGTCTTCCACACCTGAGTGGCACTACGGAGAAAAGCCATTTTCCCTTCGGTGGCCTGTGTGTCCTTCTTTGTGTTCTAGTTGAACGGATCCTCCTCCCGGCTTGCTGTCTTATGGCTTTTAATCGCTTATCCTCCTGATATAAATCCCTTAAAATTATATGGCATGAAGAGTAATGGCACGTTGTAGCCATTTTTTTGTACTTTTTTTATACTTCTACTTTGTCAAGAAAGGCAGGGCCGAAGATCAGGAAAGGGAAGCCTCCTAAGGAGAAATAGGGCACACAAGATTCTTCAGGAGAGCACCGTCATGCCCAGAAGCTAAACACACGTTTCTTAACATCTGTTTCACTGCTTTTTCTACTAACTTACTCATGAAAGGATAAGTTCGGTTTTCCCCCCCCCCAAACATGCCAATTTTGAATGTGACTACACCGGGGTAGGGTAGCTGCTGTGTTTCTCTGTTTATGCTAAAACAGTAATGAGTGTCGTTGACAGCGATCGAGTGGCATTGGTTATTCACAATTGCTCGTTACTAAAAGGCTGACCGAGGACTAGCACGTTCTCTGGACGAGTCTACTTGTCTTCATTTTGCAGATGGCAGAAATTAGGGCCGAGTGGTCAGGTGATTTGGCCCGAGCAATAGAGCGAGTCTGGTGGTGTCTCCGGGGTCACATGTGGGGGTTGGGGCTGTCATGTCAGACAGACCTGGGTCAGGTCCAGCTCTGCCACGGTCTGCCCGTGTGACTCAGGCAAATCACCTCGCTTCTCCAAGCACTGGGTGCCTCATCTATACATGGGATCAGAAATACTTCACGGGGTTGTTTTGAGTGGAAAATGAGAGCATCTGTGCAAAGTGCTGAGCTCCGTGCCTGGCACGTAATAAGCCGCAGGACACAGTGGCTTAGCAGTAGTGGTAGCTCCCTTTTCTTCTGGAAGATGATGTCAAGAAGGGTCAGACTGCCTGATAGGGCAGAGTCATTTTCTCAGTAGGACCTCCGGGGGATGTTTCTTCTGGGCAGAGGTTTTAGCTGTCACGTTCTCCCCATCTTACACTAGATACTGTCCTCACCACCCTCCAAAGGAGCCTACAGAGGCCCAGGCTCTGCCCGATCAGAGTGGGGGATCCTAGACCTAGGCCAGCCTCGACCCTCCCAGGACTCTGAGCCAGAAGCAGGGCTGGGCCTTTCTTTCTAGGCTTCCCTTGTGTCGCCCATGTGGTGCAGCGGGTCCCCGCCTTAACTCTGGAGATGAAAAGTAGGAAAATGCCGTATAGAATATAAGTCAACAAGGACTTGTTCTTTGTTTGAGGGACTCAAAGGGAAATTTTGGTTCTGAAGAAAGAGGGCGCCTGGGTTGGGTCAGTCGGTTAAGCGTCCAACTCTTGGTTTCGGCTCATGATCCCACGGTTGGTGAGATC